AGCTAAACCGGCTAAGACAGAAATCAGGATTTTAAAAAGATTCCCAGGTGATTCTAATGTGCAGCCAAGGTTGAGAACCACTGTTCTAAGAGCTCCCCTAATATTCTGTACTTCCCATGGGAACGCCACCACACCACCACCAAGTTATAAGCAGGAGCCATGACTGCCTTGCTCACTGCCTGGCAGAGAAAAGGTTCTCCATACATACTTGTTTAATACTACACTTGACCTTGAACAGGCACTGAGCACCTGCTATGGGCCCAATCCGATGGTGCTGGGGAAGGGGCCCGTACAGGAGATGGGCAGGAGACAAGATGGGGTGAGGAGAGGGAGGCAGAGTTGTACCCTCCACATACACTGGGTCTCTGTGGGGTAGCCTGAATTCCTGAACCAAAGGCTACATACAGCTCCTGTAAGGGGCCCTTCCCTATACAGATATTTTGTACAGGTTCCCAGCCCTTCAAACCGTGGGAGAGGTAAGAACTCTCTGGAGTTGGTAGCCACGTGGCACTGCTGCATCCCTTGTGGTAGTCCCTAAATACTTTCTACACTTTTGAAACCATTCCTTTATTAGACCCTTCTCAAATTACCCAAATGAAAGCGTGCCAGCTGCGTTCTATCGATACTAACAGAAAACAGCTTGGCGAATTTGAAGCGCAGGAAGGGCAATTTGGCTTAAATGAGTACGTGACGGAGAAGGTGCAACAGCTAAGGCAGGAGCTAGCTAGCCCCTCAAGTAGGCAGAGACTGCTGGATCCTTGCAGCCAGCCATTAGGAATCTGGATGGGAGAGTGGAAGGAAGAGTAGTTGAATGAATGAAAGAACGCACACTACTTACTTTCATGCCTACCTGTGACGAGGGGCCTCCTGCCCTCGATTTGGCCCCAGCGAGGTGGACTTCACCACGCTATTTGTGTTGTTCTCTACCCAGCAGGATGCTAGAGGGCCCCTCGCTGGAGGAGTCAGAGCCAGGCGCTGAGGCGCCCTGCTCAGGGTCTTGCCACGCGCAGCGCGTCCTGCAGACCCTCAGCGCC